AAAAACGTTCTTATATAGTTCTCTTTCAGTTAATGTATGGAGAAAACAAGAATTTGGAATGGTAATGGTTCTTAACAACCCATTATTTGTAAGGTCCGCTTCCAAAAAACCATAATAGGGTTACGGTATGTAATGTGGGTCTAGTCCTTTCATTCGGCCTATCACGCAAATAAATAATTAATTAAGGAATATTACACAAAAAATAAGGAAAATATTGATCACTGATGGTTGATAAATGTGTACCACACACAAATCAATTTATATCACAACATTTCAATACATTTTCAGCTCTCGTAAGTAATAAAACTGGTTGAGAATATCACAATGTTCGGAGTTTTTAGCCGCCATGACTTATAAGGTTAAGATGGGAAGGTTGACTGACGATCATCAAATGGCCTGATTATGGCATTTATTGATTGGAATTACCTGATAATACACACTAGACGTAAAACTTACAGTTGCTGTTTGAATATTTTATGTTTATTTTAATTGTTTAACAACGTTTTCACAAGTAAAACATGGACCCAACTTTAGGGACACATTTCTTTTCTATGTTCCTAACTATGGCCCATGAAATTCATTTGACAGCATATAGCAATAAGAGTAACGTCAACAATGTTGTTTTGCATTTGGATGATAAGGAACGAACAGGAAGGGAGATTTTTTCTGCCAAACCTGTATAATGAACATCACAATGTTCTGATTTAGATATTCTGCGGTCAAAAGACGATAAGCGAAATTTTTAATTTTTAATTTTTAAATTGAGTGATTTAATGTAGTTTTCGTAAAATTTTCTCTAAGAAATGTTTTGAGGAATGAAGAGCATTAAGTTAACAGTGATAGTGATAAAAAAAAATACATCAGAAAACGTTACCAAGAGCGTTTTTTTGAGGATCAAACAAGATAGGACGAAGTTGCATCCATAAATAGACCCAATTTGGGGACAATAGACCCATATTACATACATTTCCCTCGTGAGTTATTGTCTTAAAAAAAGTAAGTTTTTCAACTTTTCGTGGTTTCTGATAGCAAACGACATGATAAGCATATCTAAGCATACCATTTAGCAGTAGAATATCGTTTGCAGGTAAATTCATTGATGAGTTATGATTAAAAACGTAATCGATGGCTGCATATTAGACCGAGGTTAGGGACGTATACCCTACATAAGGTTAAAACTTTATCACACAAACGTTCATGTAAAGTTCCATAACCATTTCAGTTGAAGTTTAGCAGGGATTATAAACAATTTATAACCATTATCGGTAAGGTCATGTGATGGTTCGCGTTTATGCGGGTATACAACCAATTCTCCATTACCACCAGAATGATACAACCTTTCATAAGTAAATTAACTTAATTTCCACTTTCATCTTAGTGGAAATCGCACATATTCACCATTTTCCGAAAAATGCAGCTGCGCAGGAGGTAACCTCTCGCTGTGGGTGCAAACTTGTTATGCATTATTTTCCATGAAAACCTCTCCGATCCATACCGAAATAAAAACAATTAGTTTTCAAATACGTTTTCTTACACGATTCAAGCAAAAGTTTCCACGAGGAATTATTAGTTTTTCTTTATGGACCGATTTGCCCCAAAAATCGTCTGTTTTACTTGGAGAATTTGGAAACTATCCTCCTTCTAGTAGTTCTCACTTCGAAATGTAGGAGGCGAAAGCTTGGAAAAGTTTCACTGAAAGACGCCAATTGATGAATCTACGCGAAACTGCACCAGTGCATGCGACCCCTAGGTTTGAAATCCAAAACCACAAAAGTGATGATGTACTAAAAAATATTCCATAGAGATTTTCACGTCCGGTTGCACGCTAACTTGAAAGTACTCATTAATGAGTAAAAAAAGACCCATTTTGAAGAAAAGTGGCTTAACTCATTAATGATTAAACATTTTTACCCATTAATGAGTATCTGTTACCCATTAATGATTAACAATTACTCATTAATGGGTAACAGATACTCATTAATGGGTAAAAAATTTACTCATTTAATGAGTTAAGCCACTTTTCTTCAAAATGGGTCTTTTTCAACCATTAATGGGTACTTTCAAGTTAGCGTGTGTATTGGTGCGATATGTGAGAGTGTGTTAGTGAATATCCGAGGAAAATACATAACAAATCGATGTCAAACTCATTTTGACAGATCTACTTTCATACATTTTTTAAGTTAGCCAGAGGAAAATAATAAACAACTTTACACGGCGTTGCTCCCGCTAGTGTGCGTGCGTTAAACGTCACTAATCTCTATACGATTTGACAGCTAGCAAAACGTCATTATCATTTTCACATCATTTCCATCTGCTGGCCGACCGTAACGTAGATTCATCAATTCAGTGCCAACATTTCAAAGGGGCGTAATTGCATTTGTAAACAATGGCTTTAGCCGTCGATTTCTCGCGAATAAAAGCTCACTCGTGAAAAATAATGACACCATCAGGTAGAGGAATGTTTCCTCTACCAGCTTGCATTGTAATTTTGGAGAGGTAAGATTTCATTCGCGAGAAATTGACGGCTAAAGTCATTGTTTACAAAAGCAATTACGCCATTTGAAATGTTGGCACTGAATTGTTCGTAACAATAACGGTAATACGGAAATACATTGAAGGAAATATTATCACTCTTAGCAGGTTGTGTTTTATTTTAGATTATTCCGGTGGAAAAGATTCTTTCGGAATCATCCAGTGCTAGTGGAGATGATCTTGGATATATTTGAACGTTCAGTGCTTAAGGGTAGATATGAACTGAATAAAATAGTTTTTTAATGAGTTCTCATTCTCTTTGCATTATTTTGTTGAATAAAGTGAGAAAAACGTGCGTTTATAATTGCTGAACGATCAGCAATATTTCCACCATAATTTTCAGAAAAAAATTGCTGGTTTTCCAGCAAACTTCTGTCAAAAAAGATTTTCTGGAAAACCAGCAAAATTTATTTTGCGGCTTAGCTCGGCAAAATCCAGCAAAATTTTGTTGGTTTCCAGCAATAAAAAAATGAGTGTGTGGGGATATAAAGAGAAAGTCGACAGTGAGCATGCATAAGGGCGAATACGCGATGATCGATTCTCTTCACCGATTTTCTCTTTGCATTACTACAGCTAAGCGAAACAATTTTCTAGAATTTGTTCAATGCAGAGTAGTAACAGGTTGTATTGGCTATCAAAATCAACAGCAAACGCACCGAGAAACGTTAAATCTAGCGAGTTATTAACAAAAGAGAAAATCGACGAAGAGAATCGATCATCGCGTATAGGCCCTTATGCATGCTCACTGTCGAAGTCGTCGAAGAGAATCTGTCAATGGACCTAATGCAATGTTCAGCTTGATTTTCTCCAAATGAATTAGTAAAAGTGACTCACTCTCTGAGTAAGATTCGTTTTCAGTGCATTGTTACGGTTGATATCAATGAGGGATTACCGAGGTGAAGCAGTCGGTTAAGTTGTGTGAGTAAAACCCCTGTACGATGTATGCAATTGGTGACGTCACTAATTGCGTTTGCGTTGATTTTTTGGATTACTAATACAACCATATTTCACTATCTGCTTCACCTCCTCTGTACCATTGGGTTGATTTCACTGTGAAGCATTACAGTAATGTTCGTTTAGTTGAAGCTTGCTTTACTAAACTAATCAAAAGGCACAAGAGAAAGTAACCTTCGTAATCTACAATAAACAAAGTTATTAATAAACATTCAACAGTCACATATTAGTCGTTTTTTTTTGCTTACGGGAGATAAGTGATCGTTGAACGGTTTTACGAATTCATTGCATTGAGAAGGGAAAGCTGTGGCAGCTGTTAAGCATAATGATTGATGTCGTTGGAATAATATTCGCTCTTCTCGTAGCAGCTGGCGGGATTTTCGGCTACGTAAAAGCTGGTAAACTCTTTTCTGTGTTATATTTCCAGTGTACCTGTTGCAATAGTTTTATTTTTTTTTAGGATCCCTCCCTTCGCTGATAGCTGGCGTTTCGTTCGGAATTCTTCTCGGTTTGGGGGCGTATTTCAACTCCATTCAGGAACCCATTCCATTGATTCAGATAATCTTCCTTGTGCTCTTGGGCGCCTTGATGGGCTTCCGCTGGATCCGGACGGGAAATTTTATGCCCCCTGGAATGATCACCGTGCTAAGTGCTGCCGTTTTGGTATGGACCTGTGTCATTTATCGGGACCACTTGCCGTTTGTATCGAAATCCGTCAACTCCGATGGTGCATCCAAAGCCGAAAGCGTCACCATGATGCAGTAAATGCGAAAGTTTACATTTTATTACTCAAAATGGCCTGGCGACTGTCTACAGTCTATACAACATTTTGGATGTGCTAGAGCGGGATGTTTGAAATCACTGTCCACTTAATCAGGGCCCCGACGGGATTAAATAAGATGTCCATATTTTGTTAAACTTTTAACATTCTTTACATTGCATTGTATCTACTTCATCGATCCTGAACAACATGGTAAGAACAACCCCTAATATCTGACATGGCAGGGTATTTTATATTGAGATTTATTATATACAACTTTAAGTACAAAAATAAAAATGTGGTTTTCACGTAGTATATAGCCCTATCGCTTTTATTTTACTTTAGTATCAACAGACTTCGAAGACCCTCCTTTTGCTTAGTCGATAGGCGCAGCTGTAAAACAAGACCATGCCGAAGGCGGTTCGACTACCTTGGGCATACAGTATGATTTTACTTGTCAAAATAATCTATTGCAAAATGGTACCGGCTTAGACAGCTCTCAATTAGCGATTTCAAGAAAACTGGGTTGTTTTTTAGGCCTATGGTTATAATACCTAAACCTTGTTTTCTCGACGATCTAGAAGACAAAAAATCTCAAAATATTGCTCCATGGTAAAGTTCGTCATTCTAAACATCTCGAAAGATATGATCCATTAACAACTGTGAAAGTGCAACACTAAGTTGAGAGCCGGCGTAAAGTCCAGTAGCGACGTAATAAAGCCAAAAGGGTTTCGAAGATACTAAAAATAAACCATTCACAGATGAGATGTTTTATTGAAGAACCTCGTTTGTAAATCAAAAGAATAATATTTAATATTCAAGAAAACCGCCCTAATATCCCTTAATCATCGTAGCTAGGTTCCAGTTTTGCTTCACGAAGCAATGCGCATCCACCTGAACACCATCGGTGGTGCAGATGGCCTGGGAATACTTGGGATCACTGCGGCAATCGCGGTACCACAGAACTTCCATCACGCTTTTAGTCAATTCGGTGGCCTTCTGCGCATCCAATCCGGCATATGCAGTAGGGTTTTCCGAGTATTCACGTAGCAAGGGCAGCGCTAAATGGGTACCATAACCGGTGGCAACGACATTGCTAGTATACGCACGACCGCGAAGGTTAACATGTCCCAGGAAGGGTTCACCGTCCTGTATGCCTCCGACTACGATGTCCAAGTAGAGTGGTTTGAATTCGCACCGACGATTGTACATCACTCGAGTAAGCCAATTGTACAGAGATTTTGGCTTCAACTCATTTTTATCGGACAAGCACGTATCATCGACCCTACAAAAAGGATTGTTCAATATAGTGAAGTCAGATTAGTTGCAATTACTTACACTTTCTGATCGATGTGTCGTTTGATGAACTGGAAATCCGCAAAATCGCCCCCGATGCCAACGATAGTTTTGTCGTTGATCTTGTGAACACGATCTACGTCGTGGAAACGAGCCAGAGATCCATAGGAAACTAGCTTATCGGCAGCAATTACTACACCGTTGGCAAACTTGAGGCCAATTACGGACGTTCCCGTTGTAACCGGAGTGCTACGGTGAGAAACAAAACAAATTGAAATGACTTGCGGAACTCTGTCACAACAATAGTAATTTTGAGGTTAGACGGAAATGGAACGAAAAACCACCGATTCCCGCGGGATAAAACCAAACACTTACTAGGATCGCTGGGTTCCAAATTCACCTGGAGTTTCCGAGCGGGTTGAAACAAGTCCATTACCGGCTTGGGCTCCAGGGAAATCGTAGAATGCTCCGGGGCTCGGTCCATTGCTCCAAAATGGTCCGGCATTTACAGTTGAGGACATAGGATACATTATGGATACTGTTGCTGTTAGTGGCCCTTTTTTTTACTGTTCACTTATTTTGCAAGCTGATTCTTAGCCGATTTCGTTTGTTCTTACAAAATTACACGAATTTCAGGTAAAATCACAAAACTGCTGGATGAGTTTACGAATTTTGTTGACGACGATGCACTGACAGTTTCTGCCTTTTGTCTTCGTGTGAGTCGGGCTTTAGAACAAGTTTTAGTACGGAAAATGGCATTGGATTTTGTACCGACAGTTCGCCGTGGTAATACCAGATTAATGATTGTTCTAGTACTATGACGGCGAGATGGTGGTAGCCGCCCAGTCAGGATGGAATTCAATATGACGGGTGATCATCATAAATTAAAACTTTCCAAAAAGTTTGCATTTTTTTTTCTGATCAAATTTTATTTAACGAACAAAAAATAATAATAAATTCAGACTACCCGTTGTTGGAGATAGGGGAAAGTATAGGAAAAACCACTAACCCCTCATTTAATCTGTCAAACTTTCATAGCGAATCAAAACAAGCATTGTGTAGCATTAGAATTTTGACTAGAATTGGGAACGTTAATCGATTTGCTTGGGACCAATAGGCTAGTCAGGTAGTGAGCCAATTTAAAATCTTGGGACCGAAGATAGTACCAGAGCTGAGCCAAAAAGTTGAGCACGTTTCTTCGGGACCTACTAGTCTTATACCCCGGACAGACTATGACTTATATCATGTAATATAGGCTGTCTTGCAATGAACACTCATACATCTAGTTTTCACTGGAAATCCAATGTATGAGTGCTCATTGCAAGACAGCCTATATTACATGATATAAGCCATAGTCTGTCCAGGGTATTAGAGTTACCTCTATGGTACCACCATATACCATATAGTACCTTTTCAATTGTTGGTCTACAATATATTGAATTGGTTCCGCTTTTTGATAAATTGAAATTCTATCCGCCAGACTATGAATATAGCGACTATAGATCAGTGCACGGTCCCTAACCTCACTTTTTGCTCCCTATCATTTTGCTTCTGAGTAAAAGAGATAGCAACGAATGGGAGCCAAAACAAACCACCCAAAACTGTCAAAACTTACGGGTGAGAGAAGAGTGCGGCAAATCTTCGTGAACTGATCAATCGGTGTTTCGCAAAAACCCATTAATGGGTATAAAAATACCCATTTCCGCTAAAAGTGCCCCTCCTCATTTAATGGGTAAACTATGGTTTACTCATAAATGGGTAAATGGGTGGTCTGTCAATAAATGGGTGTTTTTTCACCCATTTTCTTATATTGTGTTTACCGTAAAATGGGTGAAAAAATACCCATTTTTACAAATGGAGGATGCAAGCGCTCGTTGATGTAAAAATGTTTTTAAAACATTGAAAATAAATGCAGGTGTTCCGCTCAAATTTTTCACGAAACATTATAATACAAATTATCCATTGTATTGACTTATCCGTAAGCCTCTCCAACGTTTTGGATTCTAATATTTTCCGGAGATCGTTGCTGCGGACAGTAACTGTTTGCATCGTGGTTTGCATTCCCAATGACGGAAATGAGACGATAAAATTTCGAAGTGTTTTTTCACCCATTAATGGGTAAAAAATATACCCATTATTCAACCGTGAACTGATTCTTTAAATGGGTATTTTTTACCCATTTTATGATTTCAAAATTCCCCCATTTTTTGACAGCTGCATACATGGTTTGAAAATGGGTATTTTTTTTACCCATTAATGGGTTTTCACGAAACACCGTGTAGGGGAAAGTGGGCAGCTTGGCAGTTACCTCTATGGTTTGGCCACCTCACGATAAACATCACTAATGATACGAAATTCAGTGGAAAATTCGAATGATTTTTCAACCAAATGAATAGCTTCATGCCCTATTTACATCATGAATACGAATTGAACAGTTAAAGTAAACTTTTGAATCTTAATGTTCGTATTGTAACCTAAATATAAGCGTTGGGGTAAAATGAGTATGTGAGTACCCTGTTGGGTGATGTGCGCTCTTGTAAACAACCAGTAAAAATATTCTGTTCTCTTGGGGCTTTATGAAGGGTCAACCTCGGGGTCAACAATGAACAATTGTAGCACAAAAATATTTAAAAGAAACAATGATTTTCTGTAGAAAATATTAAATTTGTTAAAAATATAATATTAAATAATAATAAGAAAATATTAAACGTGTTAAAAAGTACTGCCTTAATGCTATATTTTTTCAATGAATGGTCGATTTTTTACCAAAGCATCTGCTTCAACCACCGGTGGACCATAATATCTTGCTGGCCAAGCTGGAGATACTTGGCATCTCGTCAACTGCTGTGGATTGGTTCAGATCTTAGTTGGTGAATCGCTATGTACATGTCAAGATTGGCGCGTCGGAATCGGATATTTTCTCAAACAACTCGGGAGTCCCGCAAGGCAGTAACCTGGGACCGCTACTATTTTCGATCTTTTTAAACGATGTCGCCTTGTTGATACCATCAGGATGCCGCGTTTTCTATGCAGACGATAAGAAAATCTACACTGCTGGGATCTCCAGAATATGTTAGGTATTTTTGCTGACTGGTGCTCAAGAAATTTGATGAGTCTAAGCATAGAAAAATGTAACATTATTTCCTATCACCGAAAAATCGAACCAATCATGTTTGACTATGTTCTCTACGGACGCTGTCTTGCTCGTGTAGAGCACATAAAGGATCTCGGCGTTACCTTGGACTGCAGACTCACTTTCAGAATCCACTACAATGACATCATCTCCAGAGCTAATCGACAATTGGGCTTTATTTTCAAAATTGCCGACGAGTTTCGTGACCCGCTATGTCTCAGGTCACTTTACTGCTCGCTTGTGCGATCCTTATTGGAGTCAAGTTCAGTTGTTTGGTGCCCTTTCCATGCTAGCTGGATCACTAGAATTGAATCCGTTCAACGCAAGTTTGTGAGATATGCTCTTCGTTTCCTCAACTGGCGTGACCCAACGAACTTGCCACCGTACGAGGAGCGTTGCCGTCTCCTGGGAATCGAGCCATTAGAGGTGAGACGGACGGTCGCTCAAGCTATGTTCGCTGGAAAGCTGCTTACAGGTGACATTGACTGCCCAACCCTGCTGTCACAGCTAAATATGTATGCCCCTGAGAGGTCTCTTCGTCAACGCAACTTTCTGTTTTTGGAACCACGGAGCCGGAATTATACACAACACGAGCCAATTCGAGCAATCAGCCGGCAATTCAACAACTTTTTTTATATGTTCGACTTCAATGTATCAGCTGACGTGTTTCGTCATCGGCTACTTGGCCTTTTCCGTACCGTTGACCGTAACTATTTAGTTTAAGTTTTATTCATTTAGACAGTAATTGTCAGTTGAATTTTTCAATAAACAATAAACAATAAAAAACGCGATGTCATAGAATACAGCCATATTTATAAAAGGAAAAATACAAAATTGAAGAATTTAAGGATAAAATGTTTGAAATAGCAGCGGTGCTCATATTGCTCCGAATGGACTTAAGTAGTATCAGTATAAGGGGGACAGGGAAAGTGAGAATGTGGAACAAAATGAACTTTGTAAATAATAAACCATCGATATATGAACTTGTCTGCTACAAATAACCTGACGAATTGAGTTTTAATAAAATCATCTCAAAACCTCCAAGAGATCGTGGTGTTATTATTCGAAAGGTATCTCACAACTTAAGTATTTAATAAGGCTCGACTTATGAAGGACACCTATGATTTCCATAACCGTGACTTATGAAAGATTTTCGTCTAACGAGGTAGCTCTTATACGCCTTTAACCATTTCATTTTCCCAAGCGTTGAAAGACGAGTGGTCAATACACGGGCCCCGTAAGCTCAACGTTCATGGTTCGGTTCCAGTCTGCTCAATTTAATTATTTTAATATCAACATTATTTTTCATAAGGCAAATAAATGAAATTCATACCGATTTCTTGTGGCTAAAATGCATAAGTGGTTCTTATGGAATTCTTACGTTCTTTTGCCTCGGTGTAAAGTACCGTTGTCAACCAATCTGAAAACTGCATTTTTAAAGGTCTACACAGAAAATGAAAATTACTCAAAGTTTGAGTTTAGCAACCCAAAATTAAGTAATACCGTTAAAGCAACCGTAACGGTCGTTGTCATTTGTGCGACTATTTTAACAGCGCACAGCGCTCTCATTTATGTTTAGTCACTCTTCTCCACACCGGTCGCTGCTATCGCGGTTATCAATTTACTCGCCGTATAGTCCGTACCCGTAGTGAGCATTTTGACATTTCTACGAATAGCAACCTTTCTCCCACGCTGCTAAATTTGGTAACGCGCTTCTCACCGAGAAGCCGACTGCTATTTTAGTTACTCGTATGGTAACCGAGGGGGGCGACACATCTAAATCTCAAGTTTAGATGCTCAACAAATTTCACACTAGCGAATCAATCTTCGAAAAATCTTCTTTCATTTGTCGCATCTACTTGCATCGCGCATCATCTTTTAGCAGGAAATCTTCAGAATCGTCATCAATCTTCTTTCTATCTACTCAGCGTGCTCGCAGCTAGCCACAGCAAAACACAATCTTTTCTGCATCGAAGATAGAGTCGTCCCCCTCGATGGTAACCCCCGATACGGTAGCTGCGCTATGATGAGGGCTGCTAACATGAGTTTAGCAGCGTACCGTTACGGTTGCTCTTATAGCACAGTATCCCATTGGGTAAAACCGAAGACTACATTTCAGAAGACTGGCAACTTTGCCTGAATTCAAGCGAGCGAAGGTAGAAGCAACGCATAGAAAAATGAGCAAATACACAATCCTTTATTCTGAGGATGGAACCTTTGCTATCCAATTCATTCGGAGCATTTACCTTAGAGCGGCAGATGACGCGATTCTGCCTGTCTCATACCAGACATATGAGAAAATAGAAGAGTTGCCAGTCTTCTTGATACGTTGTCTTCGGTATAAATGTGTTATGATGGTTCATTTTAACTCAACGGTTGAGTAATACGTATATTACCTAAAGATGAGCAAAAACAAAACGGAAATTTTGTGGGCCTAAATTTACTCAACGCTGAGTAGAAGTTTTTCCACCGCCATCCGTTCTGTTATTCCCCCGTGAGCCGGTTCCTTCGAGACCATCGGTTGTTTGATTCCGTTTATAGATAATCACATATTTTTTCAGCAGAATTGCTACAGAACTGCTCTACAATACGTCTATTTTGTAAAAAAAAATGAGATGAGATTTGTATTGATATGTTTATGATCTAGATCTCCAACATCTCATGGAATCATGAATTCGTATAAAATCAAAGAGTCTCCTGCATAAAATGAGCCTAAATGTTGTAGTTGGATGTCGGAAAAAGCAAATCTCAATTACTTTTTCGAAGGGACGTATTGTAAACAATGCATTTATTTGATCGTCGAATTGAGATATTTTACAGGTTAACCATTTTGAGCACTTTGGAGCATTTTGAGTTCATTACATCATTTAAAATTATCAATTTTGTTAAAAAAACATTGTTGGTTTATGAAAATCATCCCGGATATCTGCTCTTGAAGTTCTGCAGACTCAACAAAGTATACGATAATTCGACTTAATGATAGACTGGTTTACTCGTGAAGCCCCATAATATCATTGGTTTTTATTATTAGGTTTTCCAAAATGCCTGAGTTCAGATTTTTTATTATTATTATTATTATTATTAAAGTCACTTTAACACTCTTGTAACACTCGTGACTTATGGCGGTTAGATTTGAACTCAGGATAATGATGATTTCCCCTAGGTTTGATCTCTAAGATAATTAAGTACTTCGACTTTGTCGTGAGAGGTATAGATTCAGATCTTTATACTCCCTCCCCATGGACATGGAGGTTGACGGTACTGAAGCAAAGGGTTATGTTTAATTTCTTTATATTTGCAACGATGATGATTTCCCATAGTGACACATACCACCTTCTTAATGCTTCAGTATACCTCAAACGATTAATTCTTGGTTGTTAATAGAACTTCCTTGATGCAATCGACTGCTTCATGCAGACTGAGCAATTCTGATTATAGTATCAGATTTGTTCTGTATACAGAGGAACTGGGAGGGCTTATTAGAAACTTCTCACCAATAAAGTAATGACCTTCTAGTAAATTTTGCATATCATTTTATTAAAATTTTATTTTATTTAAGCATATTATTTTTGTTACAGTCAATTAGCATTAGCATACAATACAAGAGATTTAATATTACTTGCACGATTTTGCGTAAAATAATCAATATGTATTTTGCTTTTAATTGCCTTTGAATTTTTTTTTTTGTGATTTCAAAATTTTCCTAGTTTGGTTAGAAGTTTCGAAGCTAACACATGTCCACAGGCCTAATAGAAAGATAGACAGACAAAGCGTATCATGAAGAATAGTTGCATGCAGGGTTGCTTCCACTCACTTTCTATAGATGAGTGATTTTCGGAGTTTTGAATTCGTTAGATGTTGTAATGGAGGTTTGTGTTGTTGGATGCGGGAGGAGATTGGAGGGCGGGTGTTTGACGCATAGAGCCTGTCAATTTCGCTTTCAGAATGTCGCAGTCAGCGGTTTTATGATTCGTGAGCGCTCGCGATTCGTAGAATCGTTGATTGTGACTGCCAGTGGATTTGGCGGGTTTTGTGTGTCGGACGCTTGCTTTTTGGCCTTTTCTTGTGTCTAACATGTGCAGAGTATCATTATAGCGTCTGATGGTTTTGAGATTCCTGGTTGCGTGAAATATACTTGTGAGAATATCTTTTTGAGATTTTAGTAGTCACGTTTTGTTTGTAGTTTATATGTTATTTCTTTCATGTAATTATCGTAAATAATAGTTATTCAATAATAGATAATTCATCCATATAGGGGGGAGAGGTAGCTCATCGATTCTTCCGGTTCGCCTCCTAGCATCGTGCTATAAGGTACCAGGCGATAACCAGGGTAGTTAATCGATAGCTCGATGACGTCATTTCGTTGGCGTCTGCAATGCGAAATTATCATAGCAGGCGTTGACGATGGGACGTTGTCGAGTTGTTGAATAGCAACTATCGTGGTAACTCACCGATTACCTGTCGATCTGCCAAATTTGGAAAGACGTCTGCATTGAATTGTCTCATATAATAATATTCCGCCCACTATATCACTAGAAATTGCGAGTAGCTGAGTGGAATGGAGATAAGTTAAGCATTGGGTACAGGACCAAGTCTCCCCTGGATGGTGCCAGAAGATGAGCGCAATAGAATCATCAAGTTGCCATAATGCACGGAATGAGACTATTGCATGGCTGGGTAGTCAAAGTCTTCCATTCGTTAGTCATTTCAGGTGGATTAGAACAGGTTTAGGTTTAGGGTGGGCGTTGGCCAGATTTGGATTTTTCAGATGTAATCCTGGATAGGACCCTATCATTGAACGTCGCGTGAAAGTGGAACTTAATGAAGGCCTAAGTACTTTTTCATAGTTTTTAGTTTTCGGATTTGAAAGATCGTCGGTTACAGTGGCCTGCTTACTGAGCAGAAAAACGTGGTCCCAGATCCTTACATATCAAAGAGATTTATGGTAAAATCGCTTGTGTATCGTGTATTTTGCGAAACTCGTTGTTGTCGTTGGTTCCGGGTTTGAATGGATACACAAATTTGAGCAACGGTATGTGATATGAGGGGCTCGGTGTCCTTAGAGCAACCGTTTTTGCTTACTGAGCAGAACATCATGAGTCTAATCTCAGGCCCATCCACATTCAAGATTCGCCAATCGTTTTATTTGTTAATATGACTACATGGTAATAACAGCAACTCGGTGATTAAAAAGGTGCTCGTCTGCCTAGTGGCAAACGTTTTTGCTTACTGAGCAGAAGACCGTGGGTTTAGTCCCAAGCTCCTTCGCGTTATAGGATCGTTAGGATATCAATTCAGCTTATCGTTTACCAAAACGAACCCTGCTGCTAACCCAACCCTCTTATCCAACATCCCAGTGATTCCTCGTGGAAGTGCAGAGGTGTTCTCGGCTTCCATCAAAGCGAGTTTCATGTCAACACAATCCTTCCCATTCCTTTCTTGACCTGTGTTCGGGCGCGGCCGGCGCTGGTATTGCCTAATTTAAGATCACCAGTTTTTACACATTGAGGATGATTGCTAGTCCCAAGCATCGTCTATTGGTTCTCTGTGTAATTACAGCTGATCTGGCAGTAACAGAGTAGCAACCGTGGGCGGTCAATCAAGCTCAAGCTCAAGCTCAAGAGGTATAGATTCAGATCTTTATGTTTTACAGACTAACCAAGGTCTTCTACGATGTCCTGACTAATCTTGTGTACCTGGTTAACACAAATGCAGACATTATTTTTAATTTATCTCTGGACCAATCATTTCATGAGTTTATAATTTCGTTGATTGTGTCCGGTGTCGAACATTTGCATGCCAAGCATGATCGGGTATGCAAGGAGTTTTAGATCGGTCATTCTTTTAATGGCTTGAATCTGCTTTTCTATCTTCAAGTATCTTCGTAACAAGTTATAGTATGTCTGGCTCAGGCTTTAGAACTACTTAACTCAGAAAACTGTAGCAAAAGAATTCAAGCAAATTTCTTCCAATTAAACCAAAAACAACGGCAAAATCACCGTTTACCCCGTGCGCTAACAGATTGTGACAGAAAAGAATAGAGTTTTTGTAATTTTGAAGATTTTTGATACTTTATCACAATGAAAGACATAATATGAAAGTTGTAAACAGATGTGTAAACAAAATAATATAATTATAATTATACATGATATCAAATTGATTGATTCCATCATTGATTCGGTTTTACCCAAGTTTTATAAAGATGTAAATGATTCTTCAAAACCATATTATGGTCTTCAACGATATATTTAAAAAAAAATGCTACTTAGGATGAATATATATGATTTTCCCGGTGCGATTTGAGTTTTCCCGGTGAATCCGAATCCAGGTTTTTCCCGGTTGGATGGACACCCTGGTATTGCCATACAGTGACGTAACCTGGTGAGTCGCGAATCCAAAGCGCTAGTGAAGCAGCACATAAATAATTAATTTCGTTTCTTTCGCATTATTTTTTTTTTTCAGATATCCGGTACTTGCAGCTCTTTGGAGGCGAACCAGCCCAAGGCTGAAAGCCTCCTTAATAAAGCTAAATAATAATAATAATACTTGCAGCTTCCAACACCACTGTTGATCTGGTCCTTTCTGGTAACCCCGATGTGCCGTAGAAGCAACAGAGCAGTCAGTCACTGAGTGAGATTGAACGGCCGTGTGATGTGAGATTATAACTGAAAACGCATTTTGTTTTAAAGTAAGGGTCCACCTAGTTATTGTTTATTTGTATCTGAATATTCTTTTGTTTTCTTTTCATACCATCCTGTCTGTATTTGTAATAGTTTTAAACACTGCAATTTATATAGCGCTTGCCTTCTTCATCATTACATCACTCTCTCGAATATAAAAATGAACTAAATTCTCTGTCTGTAGCATTAACACATGGGTTTCTCTCTCTCTCTTTCTCTATGTGTGTGAGTGTGTGTTGTTCTAAGTTTGGTTTAGTGTAGGTAAATTTTGTGTACTGCTTTTCGTCGAGTCCAAAACTTCTGCAAAGATCCATATTCCTAGAGGCCGAAAATGGTTAGTCTGGAGTTCAAAATTTGTCCTATATAGGTTAGGGTTAGGGTTAGTCTCGCGTTTCGATTTTTTTATACAAGTTGATCAGAATCAGTTTCATTTGTCGAGTACACCAAAGAACAAATATCTGTGTATTATCAGAAACAAAGCAAATTTTAAACTTCGAAAGACTAAAATATCATTCAAGCACGACCATCTACTGGCGAGGAAAAGAGGTTTTAACTTTATAAACATTGCTACACTTATTAAAATATTTTATTATAAGCCGAAGTTATGAAAGTATTGTTGTATAATCATGCCAAAAGTGGAAAAAAAAAGAAAACAAAAATTGAAATTTTGTACTCCCGGACAGAGAATCGCTGTCGCCATGCGCCTTCTTATATATTATGTAGAGTTTTGATAGACTTTCGTAAATGACACCTAGCTGGGTTTTCTTTTCTTCTTAATGCCAACGATTTTACGGTTGCATTTGTGTGCAATAAACAGCTCTGAGTCGCTTAAATACTAGCCTTCAACTGAGAAGGAGGTGGCTGTGTTCTGATTTGCCGACGTATTGGGACCATTTCACAGAGGGCTGTGATTTGATTTGACTACTGTTTAAATCAACTCCTCGCAGCAGAACATGCATTCCATCGTTTTTTGTTTGTTTATGTTTGTTGGTTTCAATATTTGTTATCCCCCTTCCGATCTATGTCCGATTGGACGTGTAAGAATCACGTATTTCTTGGACATTTTCGTTTAAATTCATGTTAGATATTTGCTGTTGCTGTTGATTTAAAACGTGCATAAACTCGAAAACACAAAATGTTACTCTTCGGAATCCTTACGTTGATATAAGCTGTGAATTGTAGGAAGTTTTCGTAAACTTTTACTGTCCAGTCACATAATTTTGAAGTTAACCGATACTTACAGATTTGACTGTAGCCTTAATGAAATCTTTTTTATGCGACAGATCGTGGTCCGGATACTTAGCGTACACTTTCTTACAGACCGTTTTCATTGTGATCTCCTCTAGGTTGGCTTCCTCGAGGATTTCCTTTAGGAATTCTTTAATATCGTCCTCCTGAGGAAGATTAGCAAAACATCAGAATCAAGCAGATCGAATGCATGTTGAACTTTTAGGTTCGATCATTGGAATACTTACACTGGGAGGGCCTCCCTCTTCAGGCTCCTTCTCTTCCTTGCTCTTCTTTTCCTCCTTGCCCTTCTTCAGGGGCTTCTCGTCCTCGGACTCGTTTTCGTCCTGTTCGGGTTCTTCATCTTCTGGTTCCTCGTCTTCCGAGCTCTCATCGCGTTTGGTCTTCTTCGCAGGTGTCGCTCGTTTCGGTCGGCCTCGTCCTGCAATGAGAAGAGACACAGCAGGAAATAGAAAAATAGTTGTGGGATTGGAAAAGTACAGGACGTGATCTTCGGGATGAGCCGGTTGGTGATAAAGGTTGGAATCAGTTAATTTATGTATTAATTTATTTGTTTGCCAATATGGTTGCTTTTTTGAACCAGCATTGGGCGGCCTACAGTAAAGGGCCAACCATATTGGTGTTGACGAGAGCTCTGTAAATTTTTACCCCTGTCAGTCTATGTGTGAAGCATGGCAGACTTTTTCTTATTCTCTCACTTCACCACAAAATCCTATAACTGTCAAAATTTGTGTGCAGTAACATCACTTCGGTACTGTCGTCAAGTTGAATTAGATCCGGATCTGACGCGTTTCGGCAAAGGTACAGCTAAATCTGTTGTCTAACTGTAAAATTCACGTCAACACAACGCAAACGGATCTGCAACATCAATCATTGAGCAAGCACAAGTTCGTAACTCTATTTAAAATTTGAGATCAACAACCATCCTCAAACTACACCGAGTAATTGAATTGTTTGAAACTTACTTTTAAATAAGTTTGTGTGACTAAAAAATATTTCCCTGAATTTAAATGGAATTCTCTGAGTTTCCCTAATTTTACAGGTAGTCGACACCCTGTGTCTGCAGCTCTGGAATAGTTATAGCGACTTTTATCATTTGGCCAAATACCTACAGATTAATTTCGAAGGCACTTCTAATAAGCAAACGAATGAAGGAAACATCTCCTAGAACAATTAAATTCCATTCAAAACTAACGAGACCATTAAAAAACTTGGGATTTAGAATCATAAAATTTGAGCATTTTTCAATTTAATATTTCCAATCAGGAATCTACATTGTTCAAAAAAGGATGAATTGTACTCAAATATTCGGCGAAATGACCGGGACTCCCTTCTAACCATCACACTCACCTTTACCGGGGGAAGCATTCTTCGGTTTGCTGATGTCGGCCGCCTTGCCCTTGGTAGGTGTTTTCTTCTGCGGCTTCTCACTGTTCTCGCTTTCTACTTCGGATTCTTCCTCCTCATCTTCCTCTTCTTCGCTCTCGGTTTCAGCCTTCCGTTTGCGACCTCGGCTTTTACCGACTAGCTTGGGGGCTGGGCGTCCCCGTCCCCGACCCGTTGGTTTCGACTTCTTCTTCTTGGGCTCGTCCTGGGAACGACATCAAATATTAGCGGCGAATCTAGGTAACATCAATCAACAGGAAAAACTCACATCAGTGAAGTCCTCTTCGCTGACGCTCTCGGACTCCTCCTCGTCGCTGGACTGTCGGCGTCGGTTTCGCACCGATAGTCGACTACCTCGTACCGGAGCCCGGCCAGACCTCCGCTTGCCGGCATCGGAATCGGAACCGCCCGAGGGATTGTACTGTAATCGGATAATAATCATCGGTCAATCATTACATGGGGAACCAAAGAGTTGGCTTCGATTCGGACACTACTCACGTCAGATCCACTGTCGGAATCGTTACGACGGCGGCCTCGCGGTTTGACAACCTTTACCTCTTCCTCGGAGCTGGAGTAATCTACATATAAGGAATTGTCTACAACAATTATCGAATAAGAGCAATTTTAGCAATTCTGGGTAAAGTTTGGAAATGAGAATGTTAGAACAAGCAAAAGGAAAGCGCGACAAAATAGTAAGGTAGGTGAAGATGAGCCAGGTGGGGTTTATATCTGAAGACGTACCTTGATAGCCCCGTCCAGCGGTAGTTCGCTTGGGTCTACCGCCCGAGGATTTGGAGGCTTCACGACCTCTACCAGGTGTAGAAGAAGCTGCTCGCTTGGTAGGTTTTTTAGTTTCCTCTTCACTTGCGTCCTCTTCTTCCTCGGCTGCCTCTTCTTCTTCTTCGACTTCCTCCTCCGGAAGTTCTTCATCGCCGTCCGGCTTCAGTAGGAACTTCATAATTCGCTCAGCGAGTTCCTCCTTAGTGCCGGTGCTTTCCAGCACGAGAACCTCGGCCGTTTGAGCAAGTTTCTTCTCGTCCATCTTCTCCGCTGCCTTCAAACGTTTTTTATACTCATCCGAATCGGCTTCAAAACCGAAACCATTGAATTTTCTCAGGTTTTTCTTCATGTGCGGAGCTTTGCCTTCTTTTTCGTAGAGGATCAAATGCAGCGTTTGCAGAGCATCCAACTTCATCTTGACAATGCTGGCATCGATCAGAGCGATCGCTCCCAGTGGCTTTCCACTGACCGGAGGAGCAGGCTTTTTCTCACCATTTTTCGCTGGAGACTTGGCTTCAGCTTTCGGCTTTTCCTTGACTTCCTTTTTAGCTTTAGCTGGTTTTTCTTTTTCTTCTGGTTCGTCTTCTTCTTCCTCCTCGTCCTCTTGCTCCTCGTCGGCTTCCTCCTCTACCTCGTCTTCTTCGGCGTCGTTGTCATCGCCGTCGGCTTCATCATCGTCATCTTTTTTCTTGACCTCCTCGGCTGGCTTCTTGGACTTGACTTTGTCGTCAGCTGGAATGGCAACAGAATGATCGTCAGTATCTAAGTCCACAACTTTTGATAACTGAGAAATTGAGTTTGAACATAGTTGTAGAGGCATTTGAGATGAATGTTAGAGAATATCACGAAAATAGGAATAGGTCAATGAAATGCTTTGGCTCTGTGAACAAAAAATAACGTAGACAGTAGTGTAGTTTGAACCCCCTCGCCTGCGGGCGTAGACAGTTATTCACGGCCAATGAGAGCTACCCAAATTTTAGTTCAGTTGACTCATAAACCGGAAAAAGTGCACAAACTCAGCGATGATCAAATTTGCCTCATGTTTTTCTATGGAAAAATCGGGAACATGAGAAAATTAAGAATTGGATTATCTCAGTCTATTAGTACTACTACTAGACAGAGTAAAGTTTTCGGCAATTTCCCTCATTTTCCGGTAGAAAAAAAAAACATGAAACAAATTTACTCATAGCTGAGTTCCTGCTCTTTTGCGATTATCAGTAAAATGAACTCAAATTTGGCCGTGATCTACAAGTTCTTACATTGATTTGTTGATATGTGGTGCATCTCCCCTACCATTGAATCATCCTCGGGATTCGCTTAAAACTCTTCTCATAATCCCCTTTGAATTATCCTCAAAACCATAACATATTGGTTTCGGAACTATCTTCAGAATTCACATAGAATTTTCCCAGAATTCTTTTGGAATGATCCTCAGAATTCAATAACGCTGGAATTCTTTTTGGAATTAGTCCTCCGACTTGCCTTGGATTCCTTGAAATGTTTCCCAGAATTATTTTGGTACTATCCTCAAAGTTCGATTTCCTTGGAATTCTTCCCGAAACACCCCTGATGAAGCTCAACTCGTGTGCGCCGCCGGGCATTTTCTTACGCCACTAAAATCTCCTGGTGCGCCAGACTCATAACAAATATACGTTCTATGCGCGGGAATCATCTGATTTAACATAGCATAACGTGAAATTAGAACAGTTCGTGTTTTTTTTTCAGATAGGGGAAATGGCTCTAATGTTGGCCTAGGTATCTAATAGTACGTTCAGACTAGGTTGTATATTATGTAACATAGCTTTGTAATATGGATATCATTCGAGGTGTTCACACTACGGCAAGGAGATGTAGTTTGACGTTTGCATTTAAAACGGATGTGCATGCATCAAAGTAACCTAGCATTTATGTGATTTTTTTTTCTAAAACAAACAAACATCCGTTCCGTGTTCAATGTCAATCTGTTGAAATTAGTGATTTCAAAACATTATATACGGTTATAACCCAGTACAGAAGATACGTCCTCCCACGCTTCTAGCAGCAGACCAATTTGTGGCGCAGACCAAACGTTGCGCTTTTTCGATTTTTTCCGCTTCGAAGGACCGGGCTCTTCCATAGTAACGAGACTTGATCTGAACAAAACGTTGAACAAATGGAAATTCTTTCCAACCAACCGGAAAGGATGATCAAAACAAATTTGAAATTGACATCTGACATCTAAACATTCTGTTGTTCTCACTCAATCGAAGACACTATCCAAATAAACCGTGTTGCCAGTTGTAGAAAAGCTCAATTTTGAGTGATATAGAAATTGATATCATCTATATTACCCTTTGCAAGTAATATTGGATGACGTCAGATTGGTGACAAAAATCTGCTATTTATCAATTTTATCTAGATGAACGCGTCATTGGAACGGTACTTATGGATATTTTCGGTCGCCATTGAAAATTTAGTCGATTGCTGAATTTATGTATCTCAAGTCTCAAGGCCACATTCCAGAACGTGAGTGGATCATGGTGAACACGTCAAACTATAATGTCTAAAATGGACCCCTAGAATGACTTCCATACACTTTCTATGCTGAATCGTTAGTCCCCCCTTTTCCAATATCATTGCAGGCAAAATAATAACCCAATGCAGGTCAATTGAATATGCCTAAATGAATTAGTTGCAAGCAGAGATGCTACCTATGACAATCACGATCTTCAAACAGCTGATGGTAGTAACCGAGGTAGTAACGCTTGGTACATTCCTATCAATGTGTTTGTCGAAGCACTCTCCATGACCAACCATCAAATTGACGAAAGAAGTAAAAAGCAACTGGTGAATGTCGTCTTCGGTGTTGATCCATCACCGATCTGCTCATTCCCGACACTCATCTGCGATCGTTTTGAAGCAGTTGCTGCTTTGCTTTCTTATGTGAGTGTGTTGGTGAGTGAGTCCAACACCTTCCGTTTCATTTTACCAGCTCAGCTGTTTGTAGCTCACACTGTTGCGCCTGCTAAGATGAACTTGGAATGCGTAGGCATTGTTTTCATTTCCTTCTGTCGTTTCGCTTTTTCTCATCATCGTACTGTAGAAGTTTTCACTGTTTTCGTTGTGCTTTACATCATCAGTAGCGAGTGTTTGCCTGTGAGCTGCGTCATAAAACGTTATGTCAGCGATAGTCGGTTGATGCGTTGATGAGTGTCGAGTGAGTCTCATGATATTTTGCATCACAGGTTGCAATGGTAAGGCGTGTACTCGAAAAAAATGCACCATTTTTATCCGTGGGTAAAAATTGATGAAAATCTGGGTATAACTAGTTTGAAGTGAATTGTTTACATGTGCAAAATTTCATAACAATCGGTTCAGTGGTTATTGAGATGTCATCGAAACAAGAAGAAAATCGCCGGAGAATTTTGCGCGCCGTCATGGAAAATCCGACTGCAACCATGAGATGGATCGGAAGACAACTGGGAATCACCCATACAACTGTGTCTCGGGTGGTAAAGTCATTTAAGGAGTCCCACACGACCGAGCGGCGGGCTGGAAGTGGAAGAAAATCGAAGACAGCTGACCCTGTGAAGGCCCGGAAGGTGTTGGATTATTTAAAACGTAATCCGAACCTTTCGATTCGCGACACGGCTCTGAAGGCAAAGTGTTCCGCCTAATTCGTTCAGCAAACCATGAAACGAGCTGGGTTTCGTGTATTCAAGGTCCGGAAGGCACCGAACCGGCGTGATCAACAAAACACGGCGGCCAAATCCCGCGGTTTGTGGTTAACGAAACCGATGTGTGTGGTTATGGATGACGAAACCTACATCAAGGCAGACGCAAAGCAGATACCGGGGCTGGAGTTCTACGTTGCCAAAACACGGTTTGATGTTCCGGAAGACATAAGGAAGAAGAAAGTGGGCAAATTCGCCAAAAAATACTTGCTCTGGCAGGCCATATGCCAATGCGGTAAACTGAGTAAACCGTACATCACAATGGGTACCATCAACAGCGAAATTTACCGCACCGAGTGCCTCCAGAAGCGTCTGTGCCCTTCCTGCGGTCCCACGGAGGCGAGACATTATTTTGGCCGGACCTGGCATCATGCCATTACGCGCGATCGACGTTGGATTGGTACAGAGAAAATAACGTTGTTTTTGTACCAAAAACCGCCAACCCCCCGAAATTCACCAGAGATTCGTCCGGTGGAAAGATTTTGGGCCATAATAAAGGCCAAAGTTCGAGAATCGTCCAAGGTGTTTAAGAACGAGCTGGAGTTGAAGAAATAATGGATGAAAGTGACCAAAAAGGTCGGCTCCACCATTGCACAAAATGTAATGAGGGGTCTTATAAGGGAAAGGTGCGGGCTTACAGCGATGGAAAGGAAATTGAATAAAGTAATTATGCCGAAACATAATCCATATGCATTAGTTCATTCTCTGAAAGTTTGAAGAAAATCCGACTTAAAATAAATTTTTGGCGAACACTTTTGTCTGGTGCATTTTTTTTCAAGTACAGGCCTTAGTATAAACATGACAGCATAATATACTAATGGAAGATAATGATCGAGATTGGTGAACGTTAGGGAAATTGCTAGTCGATTTTACCATCACAGAGTTTGTCAATAGCGCAATGGTATCTATATTATTATGCTGCTGATTAGACGAATCCTGGGAAAGCATCATCCTCGTCGTTAGAGAAACCTCCGAAATCGGGATGTTCAGTTGAACATCGCAACTTGAATCACTGACGGTGGTAAGTTCCAACTCGGATTAACTATTAATCCCGTCCCTGTTAGGATGATCTCCAAAGTGTTTGCTTAGAATCGTGTTGATTAACTCTGATGTCTAATGTCAACATCAAACATCGATCAAACCAAATTCAAAGATAGTAACTGATGTCGCATTCCAAAAGTTTTGAAACAAATAAAAAAAGTGCAGCAATTAAACTCAATTATTTAGAAAAACAATTCTTAGCTCAAATCATATTTCGAAACTACACAATTATTTAATTTTGGCTAGTAGATAAATTCCAACAAACTTTTGGTTCGCTACATCACAACTGGCATCACTAGTGCGCATCTTTCAAAATGTAAAGATACAGACAAGCCCTGGGACCTGGTTGCAGTTAAGCAATCCTCAAGGTTATGCCTATGCCGAGGGTGCGTCAACTTCTTCTCCGTTTCTGTCCGCAAATCGTCGAGCTTCTTCTGATGGGCATCTTCTTCGACAAGTTTTCCGTCATTTGTGAACAGAGGGCAGTCCAGTCAACAAACCTAGAAATCGCCACCTCTTGGAAAAGTCAGTTTCAATTAATTGATAGCATGCACAGTACGGTGCCAATGAAATGTATAGGGAAAAGGAAACCATCTAGTTTTCTAAACGGCCCATATACAAAAAACATTGCCTCGAAAAAAGACCCTATGCAAAATGTGGACTCAATCGAATCGCCGGTGCCGCAAAGCGGTTTGGGTCTGTTCATAAACTACGTAGATAGTTTAGGGGGGATGGGGGGGGGGGGGGCTGACAAGTATCCACGACTCATACAAATTTAAAAAAATGTATGGATAATTGTCTACGTAGGGGGGGGGGGGGGGGTTCCAAAGTCCCAAAACACTCTACGTAGTTTATGAACAGCTCCTTTAAATTTTTTTTTCCTTTGGTTTGTTTTTTCCGTCGATCTTGTTTTCCGTGCTAAGCACCAATGCTACGCTACCGACGTGCCAGGAAGGCAGCTCCCGCACCTGGACCCTACCTATCGACCTATCAACTCATGAACCGGGGACCAACGGCTTTACTTCCCATCCGAAGGAAGGATGTTATGCCTCAGAACATCCCGGCGGCGCCGACTGGGATTGAACCCAGGCCTATTGGGGTGAGAGGTAATCACGCTTACCACTACACCACCGGCGCCGTTAAAGCCCCTTTAAAGTATTAACTTATTTCTTTAGAAAACTGGAAGTTAATTGAACTGTTCTGAGGTTCTCTGATCTTCCCTAAAGTTATCACAATTCTTCTTAAGCTTTTGGTATGCCATGAAATCACTAGAACCCTAGAACTGTCGTAAAAATCTTTAAAGTTCCTTGAAAACCTCTAGATTTTACCACAGAGAAATAGACACAACTCTCGTAAGTGGTTACTCGAACATACATTTAACGGTCAATTTAAATGTTTCTTAGTTGATAGTACCGCTACCTGTGGCGTGCATAGTTGATTCCTTTGCTTTTGTCGTTCACACGCGGTTAAGTCGTCTCTGTTGTCAACGCTATCAAAGGAGGATTCAACGACGGCTAAAATCATACCCGAAATCCTTCTGGAACTTCGTAAATGAGCAACGCAGGGAACTCAGCTTACTCTCTTCCATGATTTTTAATTGTTAAACTGCTGGAAATCAACAAGACATTTGCAACCTGTTCTCAGTCAAATTTGCTAGTGTGTTTGAAGACGAGCAACTCTCCGCTATTCTCATTACTTCCGCGGCCAACCAAACGCTCAGCGTTGTCGACACCACTACAGATACGATTTCTAGAGCAGCATCTAAACTTAAGACTTCAGCTAAGGCTGGACCCGATGGTGTTCCGTCGATTTTTATTAAAAAGAACCTCACTTGTCTTTTAGATCCACTGCGCCGTATATTCCAGCGGCTTCTTTCCGTCTCGCTGGAAGACTGCGGATATGTTTCCTGTTCATAAAAAGGGAAGCAAACGCGACGTAAACAACTACCGGGGAATCAAGTCGCTGAGTGCTGTATCAAAGTATAGATCAACACGGATTCATAACTGGGCATTCCACAACTACGAACCTGCTGTGCCTAACGTCTTACATCATAGACAGTTTGATTGCCCTGACCCAAACGGTCGTTATTTACACAGATCTTACGACAGCCTTCGATAAGCTGAACCACGAAATTGCGATCGCTAAGCTTTTTTTTTTCCTTGAATTGTTTTCCGTGCTGAGCACCAATGCTACCGACGCCAGGAAGGCAGCTCCCACACCTGGACCCTACCTATCGACCCATCAACTCATGAACCGGGGACCAAAGGCCCCTTCCTAAGGAAGGCGTGATCAGAGATGTTATGCCTCGGAACATCCCGGCGGCGCCGACTGGGATTGAACCCAGGCCTGCTGGGGTGAGAGGCAATCACGCTTACCACTACACCACCGGCGCCGCTGATCGCTAAGCTTGATAGGCTAGGGATCTGAGATGGTTTCTTTCATACCTCACGGAGCGCCAACTGACAGTAACTTTGGGTACTTGTCGTTCAGCAAGCTTCTGCTCAAAGTCCGGTATACCTCAGGGTAGCCATCTGGGGCCATTGGTATTTCTCCTCTACTTCGACGAAGTTCACCATGTTATCACAGGGCCACGATTATCGTTTGCAGACGATCTGAAAGTTTTTCTGCGCATCCGCTCACTCGCCGACTGCCGTTCTCTCAAAAATCAGATTGACATCTTTGCTGACTGGTGTAGCCTAAACCGACTGGTGGTCAACCCAGCTAAGTGTACAATCATTACTTTCTCACGCAAGAAACAACCGATTATTTTCAAGTACAAACTACTAGGCACGACTATCGAATGGGTGCATTGCGTGAAATACTAGACTTAGGCGTTTTTTTCTAGACTCAAAGCTGACATACTCACACCATATATCGTATGTCGTCGACAAAGCGTCCAGAATTCTTGACTTTGTCTTCAAGATTACTAAGAACTTCACAGACATTTACTGCCCGCGCCTATGCTCGCTACGGCTACTTGTTATTAGTAGAGATAGAGGTGCCACCTCCTTGCTATTTACGGCTTGCAGCGAGTGTTCAACCAAGTAGCGTCGATGTTCGATTTCATCTTGACACGGAATATGCTTCGGCATTAAATCTGGTTTTGAAAGTTGGTGCACAGGTAAAAAGTGAGGTTACGGGACGCCACTTATAATCGTATAACTTCCGAGCCCTCGGTTTGACGGATGCGCCTTGTTTTTCACTCCGCTTTGACTTCTTCTGCTTCTTATACTGCCGTTATACGCAGAAGAGTCCCACAGTGCATAAGGATTGCATAGAACATGGGACAGTTATGCGTATAACGGCAGTATACGTTTTTAGACCCATGCTTGCCTTGGACCGCTGGACGTTACTCTTCGAGGATCCCACTTTTTTGGCCACGTCTCGAACCGAAGCACTTTTCTTGCGACTGAAAGCTTGCACGATTTTCCGGTTCAGATTTCGGTTTACGTACGGATTTTCGCTTGTCCTGGAAAGTTGCTTCATAATCATACTTTCGAATCGCGTTTCGAACGGCTCTGATACTTACACCTTCTAATTTTGCCAATTGACTCAGAGAAATGTTGGGGGTAGCATACCATTTGTGCACGATCTGTTTACGCTTTTCCGGAGAAAAGCTTCGCATTGTCACGGAAATGTAAAGAACCGACACTTGCGATACACGAAACTGTTGATCGAAATGTAAACAATGATTCAGCGTGATGTGATAATCAGCTGTTTAAACGCTCCAAAGTCGTGCTTAGACATTTTGGGACCCCCCCCCCCTCCCAGCATAATGTAAAGAGGGTGTCAGCATCTACCAGCATGAGATTTCAGGAGCCCCTGAAATACGTGCTACTTAGGCTGTGGTCCTGTTGAATTTTTCGAGAAAATGAGGTGCCGCTTCAACGTGTTCCGTTCAATTTTTCAATGGCTGCAGCCAAGTACTTTTTGGTCCAGCTATTACGGCCCGACACTCGTTTGTAGTTGCGAACCATCTCTGAGCGAACTAAGCACAAACTATGTTTACGTTTTTGACAAAACTTAGAAGCGAACTTTGAGGATAGATTTTTCTCAAGTTGAGTGGCAATCTTGCCCCGAATAAAAGCATTTTATAAGTTTAGTTTATTAAATTTCACTGCAAACGTCGCAAATTTAACAACGTGAGTAAACAAAAATGTACAGGCACTGCGAAAAATAAAATTTTGGAATAAATCAAGGACATTTGAACTTCAATTGAGTCACACGAATGTTATAAGTAAAACCGTGTAACAAGCGAACAAGTTCCACCACACATTTTTATGGTATTTTAGTATGTTCCTGAGGTGTCTCCTGTACTGCCCATAAAAGCATAATTGTCCCATATGAATAGGAAATCAAGCAAAGATGGGACAATTATGCTAGTATTGGCAGTGTACTAAACATATGATTATAAAGCAAATTGATTCCCAAAACCCAGAATGGCCATCCATACATTTTTAATAAAATTGTACGGACCGTGGACAATAGTAGCCAACCCCCCTAAACGGTCTACGTAGTATATGGACAGCCCACCAAACGGTACAAACCCCTTTTTCTCATCATCAACCATTGAGCAGTCCTGCGTGTGCTGTTAACAATGTCAATTGACGTAAAATATTGGTCTAGCATTGAATTTCACTTCCGACACTGATATTCGTTGCATTGTTTTAATATTACTGATGAATTTTATAAAGATCGGTACTCGATTAGCTGGCAGAATTTTGGATATCAGTGGTCCCTTTACGATGTCAATGTTATTTGCGCACTGACATTGATATTTTGGCTATATGAAGAGACACTGATATCAGGTGGCTAGTGAAATACAACATTTTGTAGGTATTGATATTTTGCAGCACTGCCATTAAGCCCGGCTTAGATGATTCAATTCAGTTCATATAAAAAATGCTTCGTTTCGACTTCTGCAATGAGGTCCCTGGTCTATGTCGGGTTTGCTCTATTCGATGTCAAGTCAATTGAACGCCGACTATCAGCTAGCTTGAACTGTGTATTTGGGTCTTTAGCCACCTACCTTTCTCTTCATCTGCGGAAGCCGTTTCCTTGCCGCTTGCCTCACCGTTGTCCTCTTCCGTCGCCACCTCGGCGGCCTTCTTCTTGTTATCAGTGGCCTCTACCTTGGAGGAATCCTCTTTGGCATCAGCGGGGCTGGTAGCTTTCTCTTCTTCGCGATCTTCGGCCTGTATCAACAAATAAACAACCAAAATGTAGCAAAGTATGTGTGAGGGTGTGATGCAGTGATAGACATTGATGGGCGATACATATATTATGTCACGTTCAAAGTGGGGGGGGGGGATTTTGTGACAAGCAATGCATTGGGTTTGGGAAATATGACGAAAGGGGGGAGGGACTATTTTTTTTTCTCAATTTAGCGTGACATAATTAATGCATGGCCCCTGATTGGAGGAGCATCATCATCGCCGTCTCCTTGGGCTTTCGCGAGAAACAGGTCCGCTTGTCGATATGTGCGCGTGCAGATGCCATTGCGTTGGTGTGTGCATCTCTAGCTTTGGTGGATCGACGTGTGAAGCAGAACGAAAAAAAAAAAACGTGCAAATGGGGAAAATTATCCACGACACAATCTCGCGCACACATGAACGGCCCCGCGAGAAGACGAAGAAATAATGTAATCACGCGTTATTTCTACGCTGCGTTTTATCCTGGACAAGCCGATATGAAATGTCTCCCCCATGGAGATTGCCATGCACTGTTGCTTAATCGAACCGACCATTTTCAGGAAAAACCGGTCAAATCCGCTACACACTTTTCATGTAATCTCGAAAAAATGAACGGTAAACCGCGAACGCAAGATACAACATTAAACTACGAAATGAAGCTCGAACACATATCCACCATGGAAGGCACTGCAAGCTGCAGAGGAAAAACGAGCGCACTAAAAAACAAACACAACGCCATTAGAAAAAAGATGCGTATCGACGAACGAACGGAAAAATGAAAACTACTCCAGCATCGCCATTTCACAACGGAACACGAGAAAAACTATTGGAAAATGTCCACCACTGCTTGCACTATCGACCAGGATCGAATTTCGCACGGATAACACCGCAAAAACGTACCATTTTAGTGGAATTCTTCTCTTTATCGGCGTTTGCCGACATGTTAGCAAAATATCAAACTTGAAGAATAATTTCGAATTGGGGCTGCCCGATGGGAGCACAAACATTCGAAAGTGCGAAACGAGCGGGATCGATTGACAGCGAGGCGGGACTTAAGAAGTTCTGGCAGTCGGAAAGTGTGGCAACAGAATTTTTCAAAAGATTCCTGTTTTGCTATTTTATATGACATTGCAGTATCAAGATTAGCAAAGAAGAAATAGATGCATTCAACAGAAGGATTAATTTTCAATTTTTTGAGCAATGCCATACATTAAAGTAAGCATTAATACTTATTGATGATCTTGAAAATATGCCTCATCGACCAAACAAACAGGTTCGACATTTATCCCGCGTTGTTATGCACGGTAGTCGCAAAATACTCAATAATGAGTATAAAGTATTCATTTTATAGGGAAAATGGGATTGCCCACGTAAGAGTAAAATTTTACCTATAATTGTATAATTGTTACTACATAAATGAGTAAATGTTATTATTTTGTGAGTAATAGTTACTCGTTAATGGGTAAACACTTTACTCATTTAATGGGTAGTCCCATTTTCGCTTAACAATTCAGGCATAACATTTGATAACGGCACAAAAGCATTTGTAAACAAACTTTTTAAGGCCCTTTACACGCGAACCAAAGTACGCCTACGCAAACCAATACCAATTTCGGAAAGGTGGTAGTTGTCCCTATTCGATGATGTTGTTGGTTTGCGTGGGCGTACTTTGATTCGCGTCGAGATTCGCGTGTAAAGGGCCTTAGAAAGTTTGTTTTCAAATACTTTTGTGCCGTTATCAAATGTTATGCCTGAATTCATACTTTAGTCATTATTGCGTACTTTATAGTCATTAACACTCAAATATATTACTAATCTAAAATAGTATAAAATTTAAGCTTTATTTGATTTAGCTGTGTATACTCATCGCTATGATTAAAAAATGTCTTTATTTATACATGACAACGAATAACGTGTCAAAATTCATATTCGTGCTTATCAAGTCAGCAACATGCCAAACTGTTAGCTTTCACCTTGATCCAAAAAGTTTCGCTTATTTATCTGCATTTAATTGGCGAAAATAAAACTTTCAGTTAGTATATTATACATTATTTATAAAAAAAAGTACATTGATTTTGGAATTTTTATTTCTAGCTTGGCGATAAGCTCTTGCTATCGATATTGGACTTAGTAGAATGACCACCAGAATGGAAAAGGTATTTGCATCTGTTTGTATTTTAGTTCAGGTTTAAATGGATTGTAATTAAATTATGTTCTCATCCTTTTAGATTACCACTAAATAAACAGCTTCCTAAAATGCAATATATCGAATTGGCCAACTTGCCAGCGCTCTGGAAAGTACGCCCAACGATAGGAACAAGATTGCACAACCGAATGATCAGTGAAGGAAGGTGCATCCGGTGTCGACTATCCAAGTAGAGCGGTTCTGCTGAGAAGCATTTCCTTGATCGTATGGTCCAGCACCGTACATGAGCCTAGTCGTCTACAGTTCCTGAAATCGGATCAACTTGATAAGGCACATCATGCGTATTTTTACTGGTCAAGTTCCAAACCAACGCACCAGCTAAACAACAAAACGAATGCTATTTATTTGTAGATGCACTCTGAATAATAAAAATGAAAAAATATGTTTCACTGCACATAAATTCTATACTTAACCGAAATCGTAACAAAAACATCGCTGCTAGCAGTTCATTGAATAAATCTGCTTTAAACATGGCATGTATAAAGGCCAAATATACACATTCTCGTATAAACCATTTTTATACTAAGTGTGTATTTTCTCTCTTTATACCAAGCTATGCGTCGGTCAGGAGAGATGCGATTTAGTGTAACTTTTAATCTATTTAAATTTGAAAATCTTTTGAGTGAATGAGTTTTTTTGAGTTTACCGTCTAGACACGCTCACTTGAAAATACCCATTAATGAGTATAATTTCACCCATTTTGTACAAAAGGGCTTAACTCATCAACATTTTTACCCATTTATAGAGTATCTGCACCGACAAACCGACATGAATGATCAAAAAAATTATAACGAAATTTCTGAACCAAGTACAAAAATGATATCTTCCGCAGTTTTGCGGAAAATATTTATCCTAGCCACGAATACGCGTACAAATTTTATGAGGTTGTTGTCTAATATATTTCGGACAAATTATTTTTATCTAGATAAATCATTTCTATGGTTTTGACTGATGGGATCGCTGCTCATTTGAATCGGCCATTATGGATTCTCGATCAAGAGTTAAGTTTAAGTTTCATGTCGGTTTGTCGGTGGTATCTGTTGCCCATTCAGGCATAACATTTGATAACGGCACAAAAGCATTTGTAAACAAACTTTCTAAGGCCCTTTACACGCGAATCAAAGTACGCCCACGCAAACCAACAACATCATCGAATAGGGACAACTATCACCTTTCCGAAAGTGGTATTAGTTTGCGTAGGCGTACTTTGGTTCGCGTGTAAAGGGCCTTGGAAAGTTTGTTTACAAATGCTTTTGTGCCGTTATCAAATGTTATGCCTGCATTAATGAATAACCACAGACAAACAGACGTAACTCTTTTTTCCCTTGATTTATTTCCGTCGAACTTGTTTTCTGTGCTGAGTACCAATCCTTAGTAACCATAGGCACGTTATTTTGCCTTTTTGGCTATATACAACTGAACAACGGCTACACCAGTGTTTGCAAGTTCTGATGAGGCCCGTATATAGCCAAAAAGGCGAAATAACGTGCCTATCTCGGTGCCTATGGTTACTTGGGATGCTACCGACGCCAGGGAGGCAACTCCCACACCTAGGCCCTACCTATCGACCCATCCACTCATGGACCGGGGACCTACAAAATGGAGGTAGGGGTTGATGCATATATTATGTCACGCTCTAAGGGGGGGGGGGGTCTAAGATTTTGTGATAAGCAATGCATTAGATATAAGAAAAACGTGACGATAGGGGGAGGGGGTAATTTTTCCCTCGATTTAGCGTGACATAATTAATGCATGGCCCTAGCTACGTATTCCCAAAAAAAAAAGATCATACTTATTTTTACCGTCCAACTCAGATTCATTTCTTTATGCATGACGACTCTAAGCTAACATTTTGCAGATCATCCAAACAGGGAAGGGGTTAAATGTTAATCCGAGTTGGAGCTTACCGCCATGAATATTTCAGCTGTTTTGGATGGAATTGGAAGTAACATTGCTTTTCTTTAATATTTATGTAGGGGTTGTGGTTAAAAAGTATGCTCATAAACAATTCATTAATTAATTTATCTTTATTAGGGAGGCTTTCAGCCTGGGGCTGGTTCGCCTCCACGTGCTCATAAACATTCAAAAGTGCATACCACATTAAATCTAATATAAATCATATTCAGGAAATATATTTTTCATAGTAGGCCAAAAGATGTAAAGCGTGCCGCCACGACGTTTCAGTTGATAGACACTTTGATTAACTTTTTATTGGATTGTATTTTGGGATTGAATACTAGGTTAATCTTGGAATTACTCCTTTAAATTTGTCGAACCTCTTAACGGAATCCCTTTATGAAGAGCTTTGAGTGGGTTGGTTTATTTCCTTTTAATTCCGTTATAATTGCTTATCTTTTGACAGATACGCGTATTTCGTCTACTACTTGCAGACTTCATCAGTGCCAAGTGGTGTTGAGTACTTGGCACTGATGAAGTCTGCAAGTAGTAGACGAAATACGCGTATCTGTCAAAAGATAAGCAATTATAACGGAATTAAAAGGAAATAAACCAACCCATTCAAAGCTCTTTATATTGGAATTACTATTTCTAAATATAAGAGCATTTCTAACATTTGATATATGAATCAATTTGCTGCATTAGGGTAAACACTCCTATAGTTGCGGTACGATAGAAGCGTTAGATTCCTATGCTTGCGTATGGAGTCTCCATACACAACTATAGGAACCCAACGCTTCTAACGAACCGCAATTATAGGAGCGCTTATCCTACCAGCTTCGCGATCTGTGTGAAAACAGAATGTTTTTCGATCACAAATTATCGTTTTTGACGTACAAATGTCTGAGTTGCACGAAAGAGTGAAAGAGAGTGATTTCTACGTACATTTAAACTATTTCAACCTGATAAACTTTAAACCAAAACGCCAGCTTTTGTTGCAACCAAATGTGCTGAAAGTTTCAGAGAGTCATTTCCTTATCTAAACTTCAGATGAGAAAAAAAACCTTTGCAAGTTTCAGCTCATTTGGTTGTAACACGAGCTGGCGCTTTGGTTTAAAGTGTCTACAGACACAAATCTAGGGTGGCCAGATGAAAAGGATGATATAAAATTTCTTCCACATACGTTCACGATGAGCAAGGAGAGCACGCCAAATGACGAATCCGAAAAACAAGACCTTCTTCGATTTGCATAAAACTTTGCATAATTGTGTGTTCTATGTAATAATTCACATGGTTTAGAAAATCCGGTCATTTAGATGTTGTACTTTTCTTCAAAATGGCGTCTTTGGCATTTTCAATAAATTGAAGCATGAAAATGTCACTTCTAATCAAAATGATGTCTGATACAAAGTTGTTGAGAAAAATTATATTTTTTTGGGAAAAATATACATGGATTTGTTTCTAGTAATTTTAAGTACAAATTCCATAAAAAGGATGAAAACTCAAACACAGACAAACAGACATAACAGTGACAATTTGTTCAT